AACTTGAAGTATACTTCTTTTTGGTAAGGGTATAGCCAAGTGTAATGTATGTCAAACACCTTCACCCTTGATAAATAGCTTAATTTTCTGTTACAGTTGTAATGTTTTTATTATTTATTAGCTCTAAAAAGGGGAATATTTATGACGAATTATAACTGGTTATGATTCATAATAAATATTTAGATTATATCTTCGAATTAACTGCAGCAGAATCAATATTACAATTATTTGATCTGTCCGTCCACCGAGCAGACAATATAATCATTTATCAATTCAAGGAATGTTTATTTTTCTGGCCACGCAACAATAAACTGTCCTTCTTTGTTAAGTGCTCGCATTAATTTAGCAAATGTAGCAAGGGTTCAACACATTCATTGACTTCAAACTGTGAGCAGCAAACAGAGACAATCCGTTGTGAATATAAGGGATTTAATAAATGAAACTATATCTAACATATAACTAACTAAAACATATATACACAGAATGAAACAAAGTAAGGAAAAGGGAGAGAATAGAAAAGAATAGCAGTATTTCACATCACTTAACCACAACCTTTGAAAATCATCAGAGAATCCAAAAATCACCTTAAAAGGGACTGAAACTTAAACACGCATCTAGATAATTTCAAGCGGTTACTTGCATTGGTTTTCGATTGCTGAAGAAGAGTCCGGATGCGGTAGATAACGGAGGTCTTTTGATGTGTTCAATTTCTGTAGTTTTAACCCAAAATTCTAAACAAATATGTGGGTGGATTTTAATCTGAGAGGAGATGGGCTTTATCACTGAAGGAAGAGTTATTATGGATTATGAACTCGTATTTTGGTCAAAAGCGATGATTTAAAGTTGAAACGCCTTAATAATGGATTTGTTTATTACAAACACACAGCTTTTCACAAGATATTAATTGATGGACTCGTGTGGATTATTGTGATGTTTTTATCAGCTGTTTACACTCTCATTCTGATGGCACCCATGCACTGCAGAGGAGCCATTGATGAGCAACTGATATGTAATGTTAGATTTCTCCAAATATGAAGAAACAAGCTTGAATGGCCTGAGGGTAAGTAAACTTTAAGCAAATTTTCATTTTTGTGGCAACTATTCCTTTGATGTATGCCTGCTCCCAAAAATGTTAAGAGTATTTATTTTCCTGTAGTGTATTTATCACTTCCATAAATTCTTGTTTAGGAAAAAACTTGCTAAACCATGTTTCCATGGTTTTAAACGGTGTGTTGTATAAGAAAAGCGTGAACACAGGATGTTGGGAAGCCACTCCCTCTGCTGCCCTCCCTTGAGACTACAGAAGAGACAAGCTAGAGTCTCATTCAAACCAGCCACACACTGGGACAGCAAAGAATTCACACATACACACACATGCGCACAGACAAACACACATCAGTAAAGACATGCTCCAGTACAGAGCGTTACAGACACACACAGAGGGGCTTCCCTTGTGAAACCACTCACAC